CTTAACCGAATCGGCCAAACGATCATTCGGCTAATTTTTATCAGGTGTTTCAGGAATTATGATAATAGCTGTAAAAAAAAATTTTTAATATAACATTTTTTGCGCGGCCGGCCGGGTCCTATTTGCTTGTCCCATGTAACAAGAAACAACTAATTTAATTTGAATGGCCTAATATTAAAATCTTAAATATTTGATTACTTGATTTTAAAATGCTTTTACTATATTAGTACGTAATAGCACCCATGGGTGTTATTTTTGGCCCAAATTAAAACCTAATTTAGGCTGAAATTCAAAATTATACCCTGGGCATGCGCAAATACTGCATTAGAAATATTCAAAAAGCGTCATTTAAATAGCTTTTGATCAACTTAAAACAAAAGAATTATCTGTTATAATATCTAGTAATTAAAATCACATGATTAAGGATTATTTGACTCGTCATACGTAGGAGAAATAAAATAAATATATCGATATATATAGTATAAACTTAATTCTGATTAATAGTATAAAAATACTATAATATCGATATAAAATTGGTCTAGTCTAATTTTGATAGACAGGGTAAATCCGCGTTTCGCCCTAACGTGATAATCAAACCAGGTTTCACTAAAATATAACGCAGGTTTCAATAATATATCGATATATAAACTTTTCTTATCGTTATGTATATTACTGTATAACTTTGATTTACTTAATTGTGTATCACCCAACTGTTGATTAAAATCTATGAAAATACTGTTTCTAATAGTTTATTAGACTATGCTAAAACAGTTTATTAAAATACGGTCAACTATCTAACGGAAATCCAGGCTGAAAAAAAATTTCCGATATATGACTTTTTTATTATAAACATTATATATAAATTATTTATATATTAAAAATTTGGTTCATTGTAATTTTGTCCGTTAACCCGGTGAATTCGGTGAATCCGGTCTAAAGGTGTCCGTTATATCGGGTAGTTGACTGTACCATTTTTGCCAAGAAATTTTATATAGTCTAAAAACATTAAATTAAATAAAATGCGATATTAGCTATCCGATATCGTTGGGCTGCCGGAACGCTATTTCTAAATTGATATGCACAAAACAAAATATTTGGACACGTTATCAATTATCAACATATAAAAAAATGTTAAGAGAATATTTTGGCGTCTATACTTTAAAAAGATTTATATGTTTGTCAATACTTTTAAAATAATTGGCTAAATGCTAGAAAACAAATTTATAATAAGAAATATTATCATAACATTATATATTTAATATTATATAATTAATACAAAATGTTGATTATAATTTTAGAACATATTATTTGCAAAATATCGAACAAAAGGATTGTATAAAACAAATTATAAAACTAAATTTAAATTCTAGATGGAAATCAAGTCACACATTTATAAATTTTGATACAATCTTTTCTGTAATGTTTTCCATCTAACTAAACATGAATTTGGAGTACGACCTGAAAGGCCTTTAGCAATTCGCTTCCAAGAAGGACTAGGCATTTCTTCCAAAATACAATCAATCATATAACTATCTTCTTCAGCTTTCCAAGCGGATTTCTTTTTCGTAGATTGACCACCTTTACCTTTTTTCTTCGTGGATGATTTCTTTTCCACTTCATCATAATCAGAGTCACCTACCCTATAATCATCATCATCATCATCTCGATCGTAACGAAGTTCATCTGATTCGACTTCATCTTCGAATTTGATGCTAGGTTTACGACCGCGACCTCGCTTTGGTGAACTTTGACCAGATGAAACTGATGTCGACGTTTGTTTACGTTTAGAAACGGTTGAACTCATTTTTCGAGCTGATGTTCGGGTCTTTTTGGTAGGCGGTTGTTCAACAGACTCGTCAGACTTATTCTCATCGTCGTCATCGACATTCAGAGATTCTTTGTCTTTTGTGGATTGCTCTTCACGCTTTCTTTTTTCCGTGGGTGTAGTAGGTGATTTTTCCTCATTCTGAATTTATAAAAGGTATATACGTACGTGTGTAGTAAAAGTTATTAAAGAATAAATCGACAGGAGCTTTGTTTTATTATCACAGTATCAAGTACCACAGTATCACTAGCGTCATCATCGTCGTTCACAGGTATAATTTGTACTTCTTGAGTCATTTCAGGCTCTTCTGCTGGCGAAGGATCTACTTTCTTATCTTGTTCTTCCTGTAACTTGGAATCTTTTGCTTCGACATCTGAAGCCATTTGATAATATTCTTCAAAAAAAAAAAAAAAATTAAAGATTTATTTTTATGGAAAAGACCAATAATTTACATTTTTGAAATAAATACGTACATATATTTATAGATATGATATAACAAAAGTGTAAAATATAATGTAAAGTTTTGGGTCATAAACTTTGAGATAATTGTTGTGAAAGTGAAAAAGAAACTCAACGACAGAAATTCTTCAAAAGTAACACTTTTAAATTTATGAACAAAAGCATTAATCACTTTGTTTTTTACATCACTTTATTTTATGTCATTAAAAATAATTTTAAAAACTTTCGCGTCCCTTAACATATTTGATTGGTATAATGATCAGTGAATGATAGAAAGACTAATATA